GTGTTTTTCGCCCCATTTTGCTGTCCCCACCTCGCCCTCCTTTGTGGAGAGCTGCCCAAGGCCTGCCACCATCCAGCCCTTGCACGGGAGCATCTGGGCTGGAGAGTGAAGGACCAAACTGTGGCTGCCTATCACTGTGATGCTCATGGCTCTGCTCACATCCACGTGAACTTTTCTAAGGGGAAAGCAGAAGAGGAGAAGCTCCCATTGCTCTTGTTGGCCACTTGACTTTATTCTGCGCCAGTTTCAGCTGACAGAACAAGATCTGCTGTTCATCACCAAGAACCGGGCAAATCTGGTGGGAAAAACACTGGGAATGGTGGAGAAGAGCATCCCTTCCTCATCCACCTTGAGGATGACCTCCGGCGCTGCAAGGAGCGGAGCAGAGGAGTTGGTTCCTCTTGCACCAGGACATCAGTTTTGTCTGACCGGCTGTAGCAGGAGTCACACAGCAGAGCACAGCCCACCAGTGAGGAGAGCCCGCTGCCAGGGAGCCACTGGGATCCAGCCAGCCTCTTGTGCTGGGGCTCGCTGGAGCCAGCTGGAATGGGAGCCCATGGCCGGTGCCAGCACCGACCCTTCACCAGGACTCGCCGCGGCTGCTGCCAGCCCCTGTTTGGTCTCATTACATGGGGTTAATGGGGACAGCCCGGCCGCCAGCGACTGCTCCTGCTTCTCACCCAGCTGGGATGCACCAGGGATCAGTTCCTTTAATAGGAACCAAAATGCCAGTTTTTCCTTCTAGCAGCAAAGACATCCCGAAATGAGCATCATCCGGGGGTGTCTCCCCATCCTGGTGATGGCCCAAAAGTGTCACCCCCGTTAACCTGTGCCTGCCCCATCCCTGGCAGTGCTCAAGGCCAGGTTGGACACAGGGGCTTGGAGCAAGCTGCTCCAGTGGAAGGGGTCCCTGCCCATGGCAGGGGTTGGAGCTGGAGGAGCTTTAAGGTCCCTTCAACCCAAACCAGGCTGGGATCCTGTGGTTCCCTCACCCCTGGGAGGGCACTTGTCCCATGGGGTGACTGTGCCAGTGGGATGCTCCTCTGCCCACAGCCCCCCCCCAGCCTTGGCAGGGGTTAAACAGCCCAAGGAGAGAGGAAAGGGCTCTGGTGAGGCAAACAGTAAAACTTCCACTGAAGTTTCTTGAGCAACTGGCATTTGCCCATAAGTGTACTTAAGCAGAAAATCACCAGAAAAGTGCTATAATCTGACAGATTTTTCACAGGCTTAAATATTCATGAATTAGAAGAATTGGCAGAATTTTCTACATTATTAGCTTTCATCATGGCTGCAGGAGCAGTTGGTGCACTGGCTGCTCTTCAAAAACTATTAATCTAGTCTGTCATCACAGCAGCCATTTTTTAATTAGCTCCTTTACTGAGCGATCTGGTGCAGGAGAGAGACGGGAACATTTAAATGGTATTAAAGTTTTAAAGGTGCCCCTTTCCATTTTTAATTGAAGCTCTGCAGTGGGGGGGACCAGGGAGCCTTCGTTTCAATGGTTAACGTCTTATTTTAGCCTGGAAAAAGAAGCAAGTCTTGGAAAACTGAGCCGCTTCCACCAGGAGGAGAAAGCGCAAGGGAGAGATGGGGCTTTGAATCGAAGCTCACCGCATTCCTGCCCGATGAAATCAGACCGAGCTGTTTGTGTGTGTGTGTGTGTGTGTATGGCAGAGGCAGGGATGGGACATGGCACCGTGTGCTGCCGTTTGGTTTTGGTCCCCAGCACGTTCGTGTAAAGCCTCCTCCCGGCCACGCAGGACATGCTGCTGCATCCCTTTGTGGTTCCCTGTGCCTGCGGGGAGCAGGTTTGAAGTAGCTGCTTCCTAAAAAGCAAGGGCCCTGCAGTGAGCACGTGTGAGCTGCTCCCGCATCCATGCATGCTGCCAGGGAAGCCCATCTTTGGCCCCAGCCAGGAAGCACGTGCAGGCTGCGAGCTCAGTGCTGCCTTCACCAGACACGGGGCTGCAGCAGTGCTGTTGGCATTCAGTCTCTGTGCCCCATCTCTGCCCTTGGCAGTAGCTGAGCTGCGTCTACACCTGCCCTCGTATCCTGGATTCACCAGCCCCTGAATCATGGCACGTGTTGGCTTTGGCCTGCTCCGGAGGGAAGCAAGCTCCAGAGGCAGAGGTGCCTGCTGGAATGTCCTCCTGGGAACACCTGGCCCAGCTCCGGGGTTAGCAAGATGGATGCTCTGCGGCTTGGTGGATGGCACAGACCCCTCTATCCCATCCATCCCGTCCCCATCCCTGGGTGCTGTGGAGCACACGGAGAGCTGTTCTCTGCCCTGTTGCTGGTGTCAGCCCCAGGCAGGGAGGGCTCAGCTCCAGACTGCTCCGTGCGTTCTAAGTCTGAGCTTTGCTCTGATAAACTTTAGCACCCGTGCACTTGGCTCAGCCTGGGTTGAACCCTGCTTTGCTCCCAGTGCCAGGGTTGTTGCTCTCCTGGCTTGTTATTTGCATGTGAAAACACAGAAAAATTATGTCTTTATGGTGGTTTTAAATGTGCCTTTTTTGGCATCAGTGGCTGCGCCTCTGATCTCTGCTGCTCGTTATTGCCAGAGCTTTAATTTGTGCCTTCCAGTGCCAGTGTCCTGCTGACTGGGGAAGGGAATTGCTATGTGTTTCAGACTTTTTCCCCTCTATTGTCATGTAAAGTGAGGAGTGTAAAGAAATTGGCAGCTAAAATGCCAATGCTGCAGCTATAACCTTCCAAGAAGTTGCTCTTTGTAAGTCCTTCTACCACGAGGAGTCATCTTAAAGGCGGTTTTTCTTTTGCTTGCCTCGATATCGTACTTAGGGTTTGAAAGGAGCAAGACAGGCGCCAGCAGGTTACCAAAGGGTGTTCATCAATATCCAGTGCTGCGACAGGAGGAGACAAATCGCGTCCCGTTTTCACTCTGTTCCCAGCTCCAGGCGAGAAACCCAGGGTCCCATTTAGCCTGGAAAGCACGAGGGTTTGGGGTGTTGGTTTTCATTGATGATGTGGAAGAGGGGATGTCCCGGACTTGGAGGGTTCAGGTGGGTTTTAAGGCTTTCTGAGAAACTATTTCTGTCTGACAGTGTGGATGTTTGCAGGGGAGAGGCTTTTTGGTAGCGGCTGTGATCCGCTGTGAAGCTCAAACTCTGCACGGAGATCCTGATTCTGAGGAATAGGGTGCAAAACTCCTACTCTATTCCATAGCTTCAAGGGAGGAAGGATGGGGAAACATTCCCAGAAAGTCTCTTGTTTACAGAGAGTGGCTTTTCTTGGAGTTTTCTTGCTTTGCTTTGGTTTGTGGTTTGGGGTTTTTCATAATGAACAAGCTTTCTGCCTGTTGCTGTCCTGTGGTTTGGAAAAGTAGATCCCGGCGGGATCCATGAGGGATCTTGCAGGCAAAGGCTTGCGGAGGGGGTTGAGAGTCAGGACACAGCTTCTGCTGCATCCCCTGCAGCTCCAGTCTCCCCTGCGCAGCCCTTGCTGAGGGGTGTGTCATAGAATCAGATTGGGTTGGGTTGGAAGGGACCTCAAAGCCCATCCAGCTCCAACCCCTGCCACGGGCAGGGACCCCTTCCACTGGAGCAGCTTGCTCCAAGCCTCTGTGTCCAACCTGGCCTTGAGCACTGCCAGGGATGGGGCAGCCACAGCTTCTCTGGGCACCCTGTGCCAGCGCCTCAGCACCCTCCCAGGGAAGAGCTTCTGCCTAAGAGCTCAGCTCAGTCTCCCCTCGGGCAGGTTAAAGCCATTCCCCTTGGCCTGTCCCTACATCCCTTGCCCAAAGCCCCTCTCCAGGTTCCCTGCAGCCCCTTCAGGCACTGGAGCTGCTCTCAGGTCTCCCCTTCTCTTCTCCAGGCTGCCCCAGCCCAGCTCTCTCATTCTGGCTCCAGAGCAGAGCTGCTCCTCAGCCTGCTCATCCCATGGAGCACTGGAAGCAGGCAGGAGGTGTGGAAGGGCAGGGTCAAAGCCAACCGCTCTCCCCATGCTTCATGATTCCGATGAGTTTTTAACTCTGCTCCACCATTTGGGATTTGCAGTCACTCGAGGGAGGCACGCACCCCTCTTGGCAATTATTTGTAATTGTTCCCTGTGAGTTCTTCAACAGAACTCTCTTTACCAGTACTCAAAGCTTCCCAAAGCATCGCGGCGCTGATAGCAGGCTGCAGCACACGCAAGCCCATTAATTCAATTTGCTAGATAGGATAATTTATTAGCAGAATATAGTCAATATGTTCTTTAACATGTAGGGTTGGCCCGTGCTTTCTGCTGTGTAGTACTCATCTCTGCTATGTGCTGTTTACGTCTGGGGAGGAAAATGAGCCTGCGCATTGAAATTCAAATGCACATCTGAACCAAATGACTGGGTTGGTGGCAGATTACCCCTCTGAAATCCCAGCATCCCGCCGTGGGCTTCTGCGGCGCTGCAAGTAGCTGGGAAGGAGGAAACCACCGCTGAAGTGTGTGGAAGTGATGGGGAAGGGCAGGAGCATCGACTGGGGCTGGGCTTTGGAGCCTCTGCCCAGGCTGGAGGAGGGAGGGCAGCTTTACAGCCAGGCTTTGATTTACGCAGCACGTGGTTCTGTGCCGCAGAGCCCCTCGGTATGCAGGCCTGCAGGACACCATGGGGCCTAAAAGAAACTTGCACGTCTATTAAATAAGAAAAAATAATCAGCTTTATTTTCCATGTTTGGACAATGAAGCCATATGTGTTCCTGCTCATTAAAGCCAGGTTTTTTTCCGAGGAGCTCCACCGCAGAAACAAGCATGGGAGCTGACATAATTAAAGGCTTCTTTTTCCCCCTGCCGTAGTCCTCTGCTCTTTGAAGAGCTCGGGGATCCCTGCGGAATGCTCTGAACTCTGCAATATTTTGATAGCTGCAATAACATAATCAAAAGATGCTTTCATGAAGGGAGCACCTTGTGTGCATGGAGGCCGCCCCTCTCCCCCCACGGGCCGCTGCTTTAATGGGGTCCAGAGCTCCAGCACAGATGGGGAGCTTTATTTTCCGCCTCTTTTTCCCCAGGGATGCTGCCTCGTGCGATGCTGAAGGAGCCGGAGCATTCTCCTGCTTGGTGCAGGCCCTTGCCCGCCCGCCCCGAGCCTGGTGATGCTCTGGGGCCTGCAGCCCACCCTCACCTTGCACTCGGCTGCCCTTCAAATTACTGCATACAGCAATTCTCTTCTGCTTGAGCGTCCGCCAGGTTGGTATTCATCCTGAACTGCTCATTAAAACACTTCAATTTCCCCCTTTCGTTAGCTAACCGGCTCATCTGTTCGCATGAATCCTCCTCTCTGTGCCCAAGCCATTCAAATCCTGTTTTTCCCTGCGCTGTCTCTCCAAGCTGCAGCCCCATGCGTGTCCGCTCCACCTGAGTTTTGGCAGAAAGGGCTGTTTGGAACGAGGAAATTGGGGCATTTCTTTAATCATTAGGCTGGAATCGTTAAGCTTTAATCGGGCCAAATGAGGGTTTTGGATCCTGCTGCCTCGCATCAGTCTCTAATTGTGTGAACTCAGTTGCTCTCAAAGCAAAGCTGTCCCCAGGCTCTGTCCTCCCTGGAGGTGCACAACGGGCACTGTGTCACCGGTGGTCCCTGTGCTGGGACCCTGTAGCTTGGTGGCAGTGATGCCTTTGAGCCTTATTGCTGCTGTGAGCTTGTCTCAATGCAATGGGGGTCCCTGGGCTGGTCCATGGGGACCCTGCCTGGCCCAGAGCATCGCAGCAGTGCCAGCGTCACCAGTGTGATGGGTGGCCCTGTAGCTACAGCCAAACAACCTCGCTACCTTTCCTCCCACCGTGAGGGGTTTGAGAGGTTGGGGTTGTCCCCATAGAAGCTGAGCCCACTCTTTCCCTTCCCTGCGTCATCTCTGCTCATCACCACTCTTCCTTGGGTGCTTCTGTAGCAGTGCTGGCACGAGGGGAGCGGTGATGATGCATGGTGGCATCTGTGCCAGTCGTCTCTGCTCTGACTAGTTCATCACCTCTTGTCTCCCATAAAAGCAGCTATTCACAATATAATGTGAATGAATTCTCATTAAAGCCTGCTAAATTACTCTGAGACAAAGCACGGCGCCAGTGCACGGGCTGCTCTGCCAGCTCTTCACAGCGTGTTTAATTCACCACAGTCTTTGCCTTACAGATTCAGGAGGGTGCTGCTCAGCACCCCCATGGCATGGTGGGGGGGTCGGCAGCATCCTCAAGCCCACAGCATCCCAGAGCTGCACCGCAGGGCTCAGCCTAGGGCTGGATCTGCCTGTTCCAGCTGGGAATGGGAACCCCAAACCCACCCCTGCCTTGGGCAGAGCGCAGCCAGGGAAGTCACAGCTCTGACTGCATCCTCCCCTTGCCCCACACTTTGCTTTTGCCCACATAAAGCTGGAGGCAGGACCACAGCCGGGTGAGACCAGGGCCAATCACATGGGGGGTGAGTTGCCACCCCGATGGGCACACTGTATTGTGCATCACCCGCAGTGTCGCACCACGCAGGCTGAGAGCAAGCCGCAGCACTCTGTTGCACTAAAAGAGCAGAAATCCACGTTGCTGATACAAATTCACAGAATTTACCCTTTTTTTCTTCATTTACTGCATGTGTTTCCCCACGCTCTGAGTTTCCCGTAGCTCAGCTGACTGCGCTGACTTTCCTCCCACTCACATGTTCATACCAAGACAAGGCAAGTGAGAGGAGGACGGGTTGGTTTTGCCCTGATAACTTCCCCAGCACAGCTTATGTAGCCTGTGGGACAAAGTATGGGGGTTTTATAGTTCATAAGCACTTCCCCCAAACCATCTGAGCCTCGGTTCATCTCAAATCTGGCTTTTCTCTACAGCAGGTCCCCAGGAGGTGATGCTTTGGAGACAGCTCCGGAAGCTTGGTCATGAACCTGTGATGACCAACAGCTTTCTGATGGTGGTGGAGGTAGGGAATCTTCTTCTATGGAGCAAAGCCCACATTGGGGCTGGATGTTTGCGGCTTTCAGTGATGTTTTGCTGTCTTGGGTGCACTTGAGATGCCTCCTGCAGCCGTGGCCAGGGAGGGAAACCTGTGTGCTGAAGTAAAGTGAGATCCTGGGGTGCGTTCAGGCTTTTTAGCTGCAGTCAGGGCCGTTGGGGCTCTGTCGGCTGCTGCCTCAGAGGTGCCCGATCCATCAACACCTCTGACAGCTCAAGGTTTTGCTGTGGGTCTCCCTTGCACTTCAAGCCATGACTTTGCTTGATGGTTTTCCCCCCGCCCCCTGGTTTGGTCTGGGACTGGTACCCAAAGTGAGAGTACTGCCAGAGGTGCTGCATCCCCAGCCTAAATCCCTGTATCATGAAGCCGCCTGGCCAAAGATACCCAGATTGAGTCTGCCCAGTGCAGGGGACAGCGACAACCCCTTTGTCCCCACCCCAGCTCACCCACCCGGCTATTATGGGTTCTCACAGATCACTTGGCACGGGGCCGTGGTGTGGTATGGCCGGGTTTGCACTGTAACCTCTTATTACAAAACCCTCAGCGCTTCTCGGGATTGTTTCGCCTGTTATCATCTTTCCCACAATGCGCTTGCATGATCCTCTCTCAGACTTAACCACATGGCAACCACATCACATAATGCAACTTCTGTTCTGAGATTATTCATATTTCCCCCCCCTTCCCCATTGTTGCTTTGCCAAGTTTTTCTTCTCATTCTGAGAAGCTGCATTTAAAAGAGCAGTGTCTCCGGTGCAAGGACATGCTTAGGAGGCAGCGTGAGCAAATCAACTCGACAAGTGTGTTCACAGGAGTCAAACTGGGGAGGGGGAGCTGTGAAAAAGCAAAACAAAAGCCCCTCCAAATGTCTATTTTTATTTTATTTGGTTCCCTGGAATGTCTCATCACATGGAATAACAATGCATCCCGGCACGGAGACTGCAGACAGGCTCCACTGAAAGGGCAGCTGAGGGAAAGATTGCTTTATAAGTAGGTTTTTATATGCAATCTATCACCAGTGCCAGCTCCCAGCAGAACAGGATAAACGACAAAGAAAGGGCTGTGCTAACTGGAGTGTGTGTTTGCAGTCGTGCTGCTGAGGAGAGCTGCCTGTGTCCCCATATCCCTGTGTCCCCATATCCCTTGTGACACGGAGGGGATGGGGCCTGGGTACTGCTCTGGCTCCAGCTCCAGCTTCCAGGGGAGGATGCAAACGGCTCGGATCTGGTCCAGAGGGGAGGGAGAGCAAGTGAGGTCTGGGAAATGTGATTGCTGTGAAGTTGGGGAGGAATGAGGTTGTTTAGTCTGGAAAAGAGATGTCTGCAGAAAGAAGCGTTTTCTGGCCCTTTGGCTGCGCAGGGGCCGTGGCAAAGAGGAAGGGGCTGATGCTGTTCCTGGGCCACCAGGAGCTGCTGTGGCCAAGCCCTGGCCTTGGGGCTGCAAAACCCCATCAGTCTGAAGAGCACTGGGACAATGGGGAAGTGCACCAAAACCAAAGCTTCCCATGTGTGGCAGCCACCAAGCACTGCCCGCTTCCTGGCACCATTCCCCATGTCAGTGCTCAGAAGGGACAGAAGATGGTGAGCATTTCTGCCCTGCCCTCGTGTAGCTCAATGTTTTACCGAAAATTAGCACTTCCCAATTAATTTCCCTGGGAGCAGCCAGCTGATGCGCTGGTGCTCCACTTGAGTGCCCTCGGTGGGATGTGGGGAAGGCAGCACCTGCAGCCCCAGTGCATTGGGGCTGAGGCATCCTTTCTGGGATGGACGTTTCCATCCCAGGTTTTGCTTCGACTTGACGTTTAAACATTGTGAGCACACATGAGCTGCTGTGACACGTCCTGGCCCAGCAGCCTCCATGGAACTGCTGCCATCAGAAACACCAGTAGGTGCTCTGGGTGCGTACCAGCAGTGCAGATGGAGAGGGACCGTCCTTCCTGAAACAACTTCAGCCTCAAAGACCCTTTTTGTTCCTGTTGCTCTGGAGCTGGCTCTGTTTTAGGACCCAGAATTTCCACTTTGCATCTTTTTCCTTACAACCCTCCCCCCCTTCATCTTTTCCTTCCTTTCTGCATCTTTTCATTCTTGAGTCATGAGCCGTACAGGCCAGTTTAGCATAAGAAATGAAATTAATTCTCAGGCTCAGGCTCCAAATGTAAATTTGTTTATTAATAATTTAAATAGATTTATTTATGCAGTTTGATATTTTTCAGGTTCATGGAAGCAATTCATTCTTCTCGCCCCGATGATCAACAGACGCTGTCATTAAACTCCTTTTTATCCCCCCATCCTCTTCTTCCATCTTAGCTTGCTAAACAGATCGGAGCCCACTGGTCCTCGCGGGCTCCCAGGGAAGATTTCCATGAGCTAATGGAAGTAAATAATTCATTTGGCTTTATCTTCTATCTACTTCGGACATTTCCTCCCTGGAAAAGGGATGCATTTTCCTTCCAATCGTTTCCAGTCTCCACCATATGAAGAGCTTCTGTCAGATGCAGAAGCCTCCAAGGAGAGCAGCAGCATCCAAAAATGCCACGTCAAGGCTGGAGGAGATCATATGGTGAATGTTGAGGTGTTAATGGCAGCCACAACATCATGCTCTCATCCAGAGCGGGATAAACGGCAACACCAGCTCCATGGGATGTGGTGGAGTATCTGAAGCAGGAGTCACATGTATTTACTTAGAATTAGATGTGCCCGAAACGAAACCCTCCATCTGAAAACCCACAAGCCCAAGCCCACCCCATGACAGCTTTTGGCACCTGGTTTTCATCTGCGCAACGGCTCTGCCCAGCCCTCGGGGTAGGGATACCACAAACCCCTGGGGATGTTTGAAATTGAGATCCTTTTCCTTGCGGTTTGGACCCCTCTGAGATGAATCGAACTTCCCATCAATCTGGATTTGCTTTCCTTCGGCTGCGAGGCGAGGTCCCTGCGCCGAACCCTTCAGGCTCGCTGAGCTGCTCGCTGCCGAGCTGAAACCTCATTGCGAAGGCTCAGCAGGTTTTGCCCCGACCCCATCGACGCGAGGCCTCAGCGCTAGGACAAGCTCTGGGTCCTTGCTCACTGGAGCACCGGGGATGTGCACAGCGCTGGAGGTTTCCCTTTCATCCCAGGCTTGTCAGAGCCACGGAAGATGCGGGCTCTGCTGTTCCGAGACCCCGGCAAAGCTCCGGCTCGGCGGCGGTGCGGCTTCCCCATCGCCCCCCCTTCTGCTGCCTTTTGCAGAGCTTTAGCATTTCTCTTTTATCTCAGTCTTGCGAGCTTCAAAGGCGCCGTGAAGCCAAGTTCTACCTTCCTGCAGATGGGGATTAACCAGCTCGTGCTTCCCATGCTCGTCCTGCAGAACTGGAATTGATTTAGTTTACTTTCAGGAGCAACTACAGAGCAGTTCCTGCACAGATGCAAACCCAGGTTTCTCAGAGGCTCTTTAGCATCCTGGCTCAAAGGCCAACACCACCATCTTCAGCCTTTGATTGCAGAAGTTCATGCAGATGGAAGCCCTTTTCCCCCTTTGCCAGCACGGGCTGTTCTTGCAGGCAGGAAGCGGCAGGAAGCTTGCAGGAGCTGTTCTGTAGGAAAACAGATTGTGGTGGGGAGCCCAACACAAGAGGGACGTGGAGCTGATGGAGCCAGTCCAGAGGAGGCCATGGAGATGCTGCGAGGGCTGGAGCAGCTCTGCTCTGGAGCCAGGCTGAGAGAGCTGGGCTGGGGCAGCCTGGAGAGGAGAAGGCTCCTGAAGGGGAGACCTGAGAGCAGCTCCAGTGCCTGAAGGGGCTGCAGGAAAGCTGGAGAGGGGCTTGGGACAAGGGATGTAGGGACAGGCCAAGGGGAATGGCTTGAACCTGCCCGAGGGGAGACCGAGCTGAGCTCTTAGGCAGAAGCTCTTCCCTGTGAGGGTGCTGAGGCGCTGGCACAGGGTGCCCAGAGAAGCTGTGGCTGCCCCATCCCTGGCAGTGCTCAAGGGCAGGTTGGACACAGGGGCTTGGAGCAAGCTGCTCTAGTGGAAGGGGTCCCTGCCCGTGGCAGGGGATGGGGCTGGGGGAGCTTTAAGGTCCCTTTCAACACAAACCAGGCTGGGATCCTGGGATTCTATGATCCCCAACCTGGGATAACCTCTGGTGGGCACATACCCTGGGACATAGGATGGAGCTGGCGGGGAGCTTCCCACACAGTGCAATCCCTGGGCATCTCTGCAGGACCAGTTTGTTCTTTGCTTAATTTCAATTACCCTTGATGATTTATTGCCCAGCTGCTGGATCTCAAACAATGGCCCGAGCTTGTGAAAATTCATGGGGGTGAATGCTTGTAACTGTGATTTTGTAGCAGATAATGCTCCTTGTGCAGGTTTCCATGTGGTCCTCTGCAGGGAAATCACCGTGGTTATGCAGATGCTTTCCCAGGCGGGCTCTGGGCTGCATCTTGGGCACCTCTGTGTTTCCCTGCTGCCTTTCCCTATTGCTTGGATCCGTCCCTGGGGTGCAGAGCATCAGGGGTGCATGTTCAGAGTGGGGCTGGCCAGGGCTTTGCTCGCTAAGCAGCAATGTGGTGCCATGCATGGAGGGAGCAGCACAGTGCACAGCACTGGTTCACGCTTTTTTTCCCAAGGAAAACTTAGTTTGTGTGTTGTTTTTGAGGCAAAACCTTCTCAGTGGAGGCTGATTTTTGCAGTGTTTGTCTGGTTTGCTCTGTTTTGTGGCAAAGGATGAGCACGCTTGTGCTGGTCTGAGACGGCACAAGCTCCCGCTGCAGTATTTCATGTGAGAGAATAGAAGTTAGCTGATAACGTTATATATAATGTTAATAATATATAGATAATATTATCTATATCATAATAAAGGCTGCTGGTCCCTGCAGGAGAGGGATGTGGGTAGAGCTGCTGGCAGCGGGACCCCCAAGCATAGGATGTTAGGAAGCACCTTTCTTTAATGTATGGGTTTTCTTCCCCACAGGTGGAGAAAGGAAGGGCAGCGCTGTGCAGCCCTCCTGTGAGCCTGGCTTCAGGGGAATGGGACATTGATTTATGATCAAAGGGGGGAAAAAAAAGCAAAGCAGAATAAAAAGAATACTTAAGACTTAAAACCAAGGAAATCGTGTTTCTTCCTGTGTAGGTGTTACCTGGGAATCTTTCAAGTTAAACTTAAATGGAATTAAGAATGAGGGGAAGATCGCCCTGGGACTGGTGTGAGCCATGTAGCCCTCTATTAAAATGAATCCAGGCATTGATCTGTACCATTTATTAATAGCCTGGTGTGGGGAGAGGAGCCATAAACAGCCTCAGCACCAGCCGAGCATCCACCGCCACCGGTCCCACGCTGCTGCCACTGCGCCGCTGTGATTTGATAATTGTCCTGAGTTGTGATGGCCAAACCCCACAGAACCAATTAGCCACTGTCCTCCCTGACCTGGGCTTTCAATGATGGGGGGGGACACGGGGGACCTAAAGACTTAAAACGAAAAACCAAGAGCAAAGACCTAAATCTTTTTGGCTGCCTGATTAATAATCCTGTCAGGCCTATCACAGGCACTAAACAGTAATGCTGGTTGCAGCTGAATTTTTTATACTTTCTATTAATCTTTAATGATAGCTTGGTCACCTAGTCTCTTTTATCTTGTCAGATAAATGTATGGTTAACAGGATAATGAGATTTCTAAGGCTCTGTTCTAGCTTACAGCCATGCAGTGCATGGAGTGACCCCTGCCCCTGCCGGGGAGCGGAGTGGAGGTGATGGTAATTGCTGGATGTGCTGTGAATGTATTGGAAGCTGATGGATGGTTTAAACTTTGATTTGAGGTCAGGAGGTCCCTTGGCTCTGGAAGGCAACTGTGGTTTTATTACTTGCAGGATCTGATGGGGATGTAATTAGATTTAGCTATTGCTTTATTAATAAGTAATTGTTCCTACTATTGCTGTGGGTTAGCAAATACATTCCACTGATAATTTAGGGCATTGATATGGCTTTATTTATTAATAAATGGGAATGTATATTAGTGCAGAACTCCGTCTGGCCACTTGTCCCAGAGTGAAGGATTTGTTCTTTATTAATTCAGTAATTAACCTAATTCTGGGAGCTCGGCTCTGCCATGGAAAACATCCATGTGTCAGCTGCAACGCCAGCGATGGGCTATGGGGTGAGACCCTGGGGCTGAGGGCAGATGGATTTGCTGGGGGCATGCCTGATGTGAGCATCCTTCTGAGTATCCTTGCCAGCATCCAGGTTTGCTCACAGCGCTGTCTCCGGGTTATCAGAGCCCTCTGGACACCTCCTGCATGCTGAGGATGCTCTGCCTTGTGCCATCAGCCCCTGAGGTGTTGATGGTCATCATGGGAGGGACCCCAAGCCCCTTCCACCTCCCCAGGTCTGCAGTGCTGCAGTGTCACAGCCCCTCAGTGCACAGCTCAGCATGGGAGATGCATCAGGCTTCTTCCTGCTTTTCCTTTCCCTTCCCCTCATCCTTTCCCTTTGCAGAAAGCGCTGGGCTAACATGGTGATAC